TTATATTCCAGGAAGTTACTTTGCTCTCATTCTTTAGTGAAAAAAGAACAACATAAAAATCCTTGCTTACCTTGATTAGAGAATTTTAATGTTTTTCATTGTTCATTGTAAAACCAAGGACAAATTTATAACTTTTTTGTATGTAGCTATTACATGGAAGGCAATCTGTCTTTAGGCATAAATACTCTAAATGAATCCTAGATCATTTTCCCTTCAAATGTCTTGTTTAAGTAACTGGTAAGAATGCAAAATGATATAGTCATGTTGCAAGACATCCTAGCAATTTCTTACAAAACTGAACATACTCTTACCACCGTATGATCCAGCAACTGCAATTCTTGATATTTATCCAAGGGAGATGAAAAATTATGTCCACCCAGAAACCTGATGTTTATAGCAGCTTTATTCTTAATTGCCAAAATTTGGAAGCAAGCAAGATGTCCTTTATTGATGAATGGATAAACTGGGGTATATCCAGACAGTGGAATATCATTTGGCACTAAGAAGAAATGAGCTATGAACCCATGAAAAGCCATGGAAGAAACTTAAATGCATACTACTAAGTGAAAGAAGCCAATCTGAAAAGGCTTCTGTATGATTCCAACTGTATTCAAGCTCTACGACATTCTGGGAAAGGCAAAACCATAATTCCCAAAAAGATCAGATTAGAGGTATGGGAAGGAATGAATATGGGAAGCACAGATGATTTTTAGAGCAGTGAAAATACTCTGTATAATACCACAATGATGGGTACATAGCATCATACTTTTTTCCAAATCCAAAGAATGTACAACAGCAAAAATGAAGCTAATGTAAACTCTGTACTTAGGTGATTATGATGTGTCAGTGCAAGTTTATCAGTTGCAACAAATGCATGACTGGTTGGGTAGGTAAATAATAGGGAGACTATGAATGTGGTGACAGATAGATGGGCGGGATGCAGAACAAAGGATTTATGGGAAATATCTGTACCTTTGCATGAGTTTTACTGTGAACTTTAAACAGCTTTTAAAAAACTCTTTAAATTCCACATATGAGTGAGATAATATATTTGCTTTTCTCTGACTTATTTCGCTTAGCATAAGAAACAAAAGAGAAGATCATAGCGGGAGAGGAAAAAAAATAAAACAAGAAACCAGAGAGGGAAACAAACCATAAAAGACTCTTATTAATCATCGGAAACAAACTGAGGGTTGCTGGAGTGGGGGAGGGGGAGGGGTGGAGTAACTGGGCGATGGACATTGAGGGCACGTGATGTAATGAGCACTGGGTGTTACATAAGACTGATGAATCACTGATCTCTACCTCTGAAACCAGTTATATGTTAATTAATTGAATTTAAATACAATTAAAAACAATAAAAGGATAAAACTTAAAAACTTTAAAAAGTCTTAAAAATGAAAAAAAGAAACCAAAAAGATGAAAAACCACAGCCTGGGAGAAAATAATTGCAAGTCATGTATCTGATAAGGGTTTTGCATCCAGGGTATATAGTGATCTCTTGTAACTCAGTACAAAGAAAACTACCCCCATGTAAAAATGGGCAAAGATATGAATAGACATTTCACCAAGGAAGATACACAAATACCAAATAAGCACAAGAAAAGATGCTTAGCCCTATTAGCCATAGGGAAATGCAACTAAAACCATCTTCAAAGGGATGAGCACTGGGTGTTATACTCTATGTTGGCATATTAAATTTTTTTAGAAAGGTTAAACAGATAAATAAAACCACCTTGAGATACCTCTATATCCCAGCCAAAATGGCTATCATATATATATATATATATGGACATGACAGGACGCCTGGATGGCTTAGTTGGTTGAGCATCTGATCTTGATTGTGGCTCAGGTCATAATATCAGGGTCTGGGATTCAGCCTCGTGGGGGGGGGGGGGGTCCTGCAACATTAAGCCGCCTGTAGAGGTCAGAATGGTGATCTCCTGTTTTCTCCCTCCGGTTTACACATTTCACTGTCCCAGTCAACATCCACCTTGTTTGGTGCCAGAACAAAGCACAGTGCTAGGTGTCTAGGAAATGCTGTGGGTTTGCTGAAGTAAGCCGGTGGGCCGTCTACCATACAGGGGACCCTTAATGTTACCACCACCCAAATCATAAGCAGCCAAATGTGGTTTCCTTTCTGGTCAGTTCTACTAGACTGCCACTTTGCACTGGACATGGGCAACAGAAGAGGAACAGGAAGAAGGAAGGTAACAAAAGATTACTCATCAGATTCCTCTATGCTGGACACAAATCATGGTACACTTGTACGAATTTTTTACCTAATCCTTAAAACAACCCTAAGAACTAGGAATGATGGCATCCATTTTAGAGTCATGCAAAATGAAAACTGGGGTGGGCAGGGAATAACCAAATCAATGCCATTCAGCACCCATCCGCTTAAAGCTCTGATGGGGCCCAGATCAGAGATCCACAAAACTAAATGTGTAATTATAAACTGTGGAAAATATAAAAATGAAGTACTCTTTCTATTAAGAGGACATCACCTTTCAACAAACACAGAACTATGTATCCCAGCCCTGAAGATGTCGCTGCAGATGTCGATGGTGGATTTTCACGACAATATGCTATGCGGACACATCTGTGGTCATAGTTGTAAATACACGTTATAGTACGATGTGGATTAGAATTGAGTATAATAGATATTAAAATGGATTTTTGTTGTGTTTTAATTTTATTGGTGAAGTTCTTAATGTTCTTATTAGTATGAGAGTTATTGTGTTGGAGTAGATTTAGATTTATAAATAAATGTGTATGGTGTTGAATATGTGAATTAGGGGGGTATAGGGTATTGGGTTTGAGGGGGGATTTAATTTTGTAATTGGTTGTGTTATTGTTTTTTTTTGATTATTGTGGAGGGGGGGTGGATTTTATGGTTTGGGGGTGGTTAATAATATTTGGGTTTTGATAGGTGGGTTTAACGTGGATGAAATATGGGTTTTTTTGGATTGAATTTTTGGGTATGTAAGAATTTTTGTATTTGGGGTTGGTAATGGTAGTTGGTTGAAAATGAGGTGTTGGGGGAGGGAATAATATTGAAATAAGAGGGTTGGGTTGGAGATAGGATTTGGGAATTTGTGTTATTGGTAGTTTGATGGGGGATTGGGATTGAGGGGGAGTTTGTGTGTAGTGGTTATGTTTATGGATTTATTGGTTAAAGAAAAAGTAAAGTCGTTAGTGAGATGGGGATTTTGTTTTTGGTAGGGAGGTTATTATGTATTTGGGAATTAAATAATAGTTTTGTTGTGGGGAGTTTGGATGGGTAGGGGAAAAATTTGAGGTGAGTGATGAATTGGGTGTTTATAATATTATTGATTTTATAATACACGTATTCAGTAATGCTTTCTTGTAATTCTGTATTGCAGTGCCTCACCAATTACTTTAAAGAAAAATTGGGGAGGGAACTGTGTATCTCCATGCAGTTCTTAGTGTATAAATCACCAAGTTTTTATTGTAAGTTCTTGTGACAAGTTTTCCATTTTATCTTTTAACCTCTGCTAATCTAAATTCTTTTATGATAACATTTGGAGCTTTTAATGCGGCAAATATAAGTGAGAGATGCTGCAAATTAAACCTGTAGGTAGCCTGACTTTAAGAGGAATAATCCCCTCCTGTAATAACATTTCCAGTGCCAATTCTACGTTTTTACGGGACGGGTGGTCTGAAATAACGCTGACTGAACACATCCAGTGCAGATGAACTGACTGTGTGCATGCCAAACCGAGAAATCAGACTTCTGGTATTGAGTTCAACTACATCTACAAATCATGTAGTGCGCATGATGAAGCTGCTAGTTACAGATTTAGATCCATGGATCTCAGGCAGATCTGTGATCTTTTATTTCACGTATAGAACGGAAATATAAAATAACTGAAATTTGTTTCTGATTTAAACAAAAATAATTACTCTTTTCATTAGCAAAACATTCTTTAAAATATATCAATTTCTCCTCTCTGAAGAGCCAAGGAGCACTAGGCAATTTTCTGAAGGTTTAGTGCCACCTGTTCACTACAATAAATACGGTTGTAGAGGGCACACAGCAACTACAGCTTATTTACATTCACTGATGAGAATAAATTTCTTATCCAGTTACAGTGTCCTGTCCAACAAAGGAAAGGTTTGACATTCGTGTGCTTTTTGTTCTTGATGAGAGTCACTTCTGCTTGATTTTCATTCTTGGAAGAAAAAAATCATCAGCTGATGTCCTCAGATTTAATGACATGATGTGAAAGAGGAACGGAGCAAGGATTAACTGTTACCATGGAGTTAGTCCCGACCTGAATCTCTTCTCCCCAGGTGGGTGTCCTGTGGGCGGCACAGGGGCAGCCCACAGGGCACTGGCAGGAAGGCCCCCAGGACACAGGCATGCAGAGCCTCATCCGGGGATGGGCCACTCTTGCTCAGCAAAGCACCCCCTGCTCTGCTTCAGCCACCACCCCTACTCACTACTCTATATATTGATCTTATGTGCTTGAGGCCACAGAACTGATAGAAACCGGCTAACTGGGAAAAAAGGAAAAGGGGAGAATTCGACCAAGAGGTGGCCCGGGTCCCACACCATTGTCTTACGCTGCCTTCTGAACTGTTGTCATCTGTGGAGATAATCTGTGGAGGATGTGTACATTATGTTCTTCATAGCAGAATTCTCCTTTGTTTCTCTTGAAAAATTTTTTGCTAGTGTCATGTTTTTCCAAACAATTTTATCAGGAGTAGAGTTTGATGTCTGCTCTTTTTGAACCTACCTAAAAGTGGAATGTTTTTCCCAGGCAAATAATTACTTACTTCTTTGAAAATTGAACAAGGTTTTTTTTTTTTTTGGATCCAACTTAGCCCTTCAGAAAGGACTTCAGACTAAGAGGAGGAAGTGCAGGAGAACTAACATCCTATTGTGCCTCACATAAAACATTTTGTTAAAATCAAGAGCAGCTCCAAGTACAAAAGTAAATATTTGTGCAAAGGGCACAATGCCAGATCTGATCTTAAGACATCCTCAATTTACTCTTTTTCTGTTTGACTCTTTAAAATACAAGTCTTTTTACATTATGAAACCTACCAAGTCACGGGAAGGAAGTTAACATCAGAAAATACACTTTAGAAAAAGTACAGGATCTTCTGCTGATAATTTGCTACTTATTTCATAACTTAGATCAAGTAAGTGCTAAATATTCACAGTAATTTCGAGAAGGAACATTTGTGTCTGTAAAACTTCAATCTATTGCATTTTCAACCAGTTTTCTGTACAATCACAAAATTCTATCTGCCAGTGCTTTTCTGTAGAATTCCTTATTGTCAGTCCTCCCCTTTCTGGATCCAGCTATACCTTCAAGGTGGGCTGTAGGATTCCTTTCTCAATCAGATGAGTCTTCAGGGTTTTATAAATATTCAACTGCTGTTCTGGTTGAAGCACCAACAGCTGCTGTAGCACTTTGCTGGGATTTGGACCCCTGATAACAAAGCAGAAAAGGCCAAGTTCATGCTATTTTAAGAGAGCTAAGGGAAGCATATTCCCCCAATTGAAAGTAAACCATACACTTAAGTGTAGAGTAACAATCTTTACTTGATCAGCTCACTTTAGTGCCCAACATTAATGTCAGAGGGAGAAAAAGACCCAGAAATATTCTGCACTGAGAGGCATATGGTCTAGATTTGGGAAGGATGCACAAACACAAACCCCAGGAACAACACAAGGCAATCTAGGGGGTGCAAATCTAAGTTCTACAAAGCTTCTCCAAGAACAACCTGAGTTAAGGTGGAGACAGGACAAGACACAAAAATTAACCTGTAAGGGAAGGAGCAAAAATCCTGGTTGATGGAGATAAGCCAAAAGAGAACATGAAAATATACTTTAAATTTTTATCTTCAAAGAAACTCCAAGAAATTCCCCTGGGTATTATACCAACATTCAAGGGAAGAGGACACAAAGGTGCTGATCTAGCACTGGAGCCCCTACTCAGGGCCTACAGATTTGTCCAAAAAAAAGTCTTAGGTGAACCCCAATATAGGAAACATCCTCCTCCTTTCTAGCTGATAGGAGGAGGAGGAGGCAGGCAGCCTGCCCCTTGCAGGCCCAGTAGTGAGGCAACGAGGCCAGGCAGAACTGAAGCCACAAGGCAGTGATGCGGTAAGCTCCCCCTCCTAAGGGACATCTCAATGGCCAGCGCGGGGGGGCGGGGGCCTCCTCCGCAGCTCCCCCAGCATCCCTGCTCCAGGCCTCCTCTTCCCACCCTTCCATGCTGCGCTGGGACTCAGGAAAGGTCCTAACCAGGACTCTTACCCTTTCCCTGCTCTGACACTTTGACAGTCAGGGGTTCCTAACTTTCCATCCCCTGGACTCTAGAATTCAGGCCGTTTACACATGTGGGATCTTCTAGAAGGCTATTTTCTCAAATTCAGAATGAACCTAATTCAGATTTTAGTGTATACGTATTGTTCTCTGCAATTTCTACAGCCCATTTGAATGAGAAAAAGAGATTATGGTTAACTTTTTATAAAGAGAGATTAGTAAAATCCAATGGAAAAAAGCAAGACATAAATGATATATGGAGAATGGCACCGAATTCTGAGAAAGACATTTACACAGGGTAACTAAATTTATGATCTACATATCACAACTTTGAACTGAACTTGTTCAGTTCAAATGGAATTCCAGGAAATAGAAAACCCAGCAACAAAAGGAATGTCTGCTATATAGGGATATCACAACAAAAGCTTTATTTAAAAAATTGTACCCCCCCAAAAAAAATTTCACAATAGCAAAGATTAGCCATCCCATGGGTTACCTTCTTGCACATGGCTCAACTCATTTGCCAAAAGTGTGGCCATATGTCTCTCACAGCCAATATCTATTTAAGTCAGGGCATAGCTTGTCTTCCATGTCTTCAAAAGATTCAGCAACTTCATAACAAACCCAGAGTAGGGACCCACAGGGAAAAGGAAGAGTACTATAGCAAGTTCAGCTAAATGCAAAATTATGTCAGCAGGTGCTCCCAGCTAGATGCACCCTGGCACTAGCCCTGTATTTCTAATAGTCTAAATATTTGCTTTCAAATGGTAGACAGCATGGCTCAGCATGACTTTCCTCTGCTGAGAGAATTGCTGGATAAAAAAAAATGTGAGTTAATGCCCTAAAAGCTTCCACCATCTGAAAACAGAGTTCCAAGGATTTTAAGCATTAATGACTAATAGATATATCGGTAAATGAATCATATAAATAGATTAAACACTCCAATTTAAAAAAACAAAGGTTGGGTATGCCTGAGTGGCTCAGTTGGTTAAGCATCTGCTTTTAGTTCAGGTCATGATCTCAGGGTCCCAGGATTGAGCCCCATGACAGGCTCCCTGCTCAGTGGAAAGCCTGCTTCTCCCTCTGTCTCTGCCTCTCCCCCAACTTGTGCTCTCTCTCTTGCTGTATCTCAAATAAATAAATAAAATCTTAAAAAAAAAAAAAGGTGATCATCTGGGTTACCAAAAAAATAAAAAAATAAACTAAAACCAAGGTACATGCTTGTTAGAGGACAAAAAGGATAAAGAAATGCTAAAAATAAAAGGATCAACAAAGAAACATTATATAAATACTAACAACACTATATAAATACCAAAAGAAGGCTGATGCCATTCTTCTTTTTTTTTTTTAATTTTTATTTATTTATGATAGTCACAGAGAGAGAGAGAGAGAGAGAGAGGCGCAGAGACACAGGCAGAGGGAGAAGCAGGCTCCATGCACCGGGAGCCTGATGTGGGATTCGATCCCGGGTCTCCAGGATCGCGCCCTGGGCCAAAGGCAGGCGCCAAACCGCTGCACCACCCAGGGATCCCTGATGCCATTCTTCTAATACCCAAAAAGACAGGCTTTGAGCAAGTAATATATCAAGATGGATGTCATTTAATGACATTAGGAGCAAGTCAATAGGGAGATATGACACTCTAAATTTGCATGCACCTAAAACCACCTCAAAATACATAAAGCAAAAACTGGCAGGCTAAGAATAGATAAATTTACAATCACAGTGAGAGAGGGGCAGCTGGGTGGTTCTGTTGGTTGAGCATCCAACTCTTGATTTCAGCTCAGGTCATGATCTCACGGGTTGCGAGGTTGGCCTGCATTGGGCTTCTCACTGGGCGTGAAACCTGCTTGGGATTCTTTCTTTCCCTCTGCCCCTCCCTTCTTGTGTACTTTCGTGTGTGCTTGCTTGCTCTCTCTCTCTCTCAAAAAAAAATAAAATAATAAAAATAAAATAACCAATCCTGGTGGGAGATTTTGACAAAGCTCTCTTCTTGAAATAATGAAAAAAATGGATAAAACAAAGCAAACAATCAGTCAACCCTACATCCCTAACCGGCAGAAGGCACACTTGTTCCATGGGTATATGAACATATACCTGAACAGGTAATATGCGGGGGCACAAAACAAGTCTCCATATATATTAAAAACTGAAATAATAAAGAGTATGTTTTCTGACCACAAGGGAATGAAGGGAAAAGTCAATAAAGGAAAGAGAATAAGAAAATCTGCATTTGTTTGGAAAGCAATCAATACACATCTAAATAATCCATATGTTAAAGAAGATACCATACTGGAAATGAGGAAATATTTTTAACTGATAATGAAAATGCAAACATAACATGTGAGATGAGAATAAGGTAGTACTTAAGAGGGATGTCTCTATTAGATGAATCTATTAGAGAAGAAGGCTGATGATCAAAATCTAAGCTTTATCTCAAGAAACTCAAAAAGCAACAGCAAATTGCGTCTAAAGAAAGATGAAGGAACGAAAGATGCAAGTGGACATCAATGAAACAGAAAGTTAACAAACCCAGAATTTGATTCTTCGACAAGATTAGTGAAATAAACTAACAAGACTGCTCAAGAAAAACAAAAATTAATTCAAAATTCCTACACTCCTCTGGGTATATATTTAAAATATGTGTTTAGAGGTCTACAAATATGAGTTTCATTCTAAATACTTTATGAAGGAAATACATATTTTCTGTGGTCAAGCACTTAGTAGAGACCATGGAAAATAAAGTTAATGTGTGGTCGTTGAGGTTTGCTTTCACACTCCAAACTAACATTTTAGGGCAGATCCAAAAGCTTAAGGTTTAATAACAAGAATAAGCCACCCTATATATAAAAAAGCAACACCGCCTCCACTCACCCCACCTCTTCATCCCCCATACAACCATAATCTCCTGACTTGCTTTATTTTTCTCTGACACTTACCACCACCTAACAAACTAGGTTTGTTTTCTGTCTATTTCTGCCCCTTCTCTCTCCAACTCCCCAGTAAGAATGTAAGCTCTGAGGGCAGGGCTTTTGTTTGGTCCTTTGCTACATCCATGCCTAGAACATTCCCCAGCACATCACAGGCACTCAGCAATAACTGGTGGACTGGATCTTTTTACTTTGTGTTCACTATCATTGTAATACCACTGAAGGGGATCCCTGGGTGGCGCAGTGGTTTAGCGCCTGCCTTTGGCCCAGGGCACGATCCTGGAGACCCGGGATCGAGTCCCACGTTGGGCTCCCTGCATGGAGCCTGCTTCTTCCTCTGCCTATGTCTCTGCCTCTCTCTCTCTCTGTGTGTGTGACTATCATGAATAAATAAAATCTTTAAAAAAAAAATACCACTGAAAATGAAAAATCTGATGTTTCAATCCATCCACATTACCCAGATTTTACCTTGGTCCTATTAAAGATCAGGACATATACTATTTAAGTTGTTCAAATGTGTGCAAAATAATTATGATTTAATTGTTTCTTCTTAATCATACCTCTCAGGGCTATAACGTGACACAAACTCCAGGGGCCACCATTCCCTTTTTATATCATAAATTACCATTGACAGGAAAAGTAACTAGTTCAAATTAATGCCTATGGAAATGAGAACTCAAAGAAGTCATCTAACAAAACATTTTGTAAAAGATCTAAAAGTACCTTATAAAACTTGTGATGTACACATGCACAAAAGTCGCCATCAAATACTGACAATCAAATCTGTCCATTATCCCGCCATGTCCAGGAATGGTGTTTGCAAAATCCTTCAGAAACAAACAAACAAACATATGAGCAAATTTTCAAAAAATCACCTGCTATTAAACTCCTACCTGCAAATGCCTCTTTGGCATCATGGGGCTCTAAGGGAAATACTTTACTACGGGATTTTTTCACTAACTACTAGAACATGTCTCACAAGTTAAAACCACATCTTTCAAATATGTACACACATTAGAATGATTCCCGAATTGACCAATAGCATTCAAGTAATACTGATTATTAATTAAATCTAGCACTAACTTTTTTTACTTAATAAAGCTTTTTCTAAATCAAAAGTGCTATCGGCTATTAATCTAATACTGTAGCTTACTTTTCTGTGTAAGCAGAAATTATTTGAGGAGTTTTTGTGTTGTTGACCAATGTACAACTAGTTCTAACTCCTGTTTATCCTAGTAGTTTCTACTCTGAAGTAAATATTTTGCTACTATAATAAGTATCCTTTAAGCATTGGGGTAAAAAGAAAATCAAAATAGATCACCTGGGGCACATTAGTCCATTAAATGGCCAAACTGACGGAATGGTTAATAAGTCTCTTGAATGGACTCTATAGATATATCCACATGTCTGAGTGCTAAGGATATGGAAATGAAAGATTCTCTTCTGAGTTTACTCACATGACCTAAAAACATCTAAATCCAACAGCTATTATGCCTTACTTCAGACATGCCAAATAATCTCATCACTCAAAAAGAAACCTTGCATCAGAGACCACTAAAGAAAATACCATTCTAAATGTAACATTTTCCTGTTTAAAACAATTACTGAAAAATTCTCTAGTTACTTTTTGCCAACACATTTTCTTCCTTCCCTTCCCTACTATCTGAAGGAATAAGAGGGCCACAGTAACTTAATGCCATTCTGCTCTTTGAGGCCGTTTCAGGACACTTTTCATGCACAGCCCTTGCTGTGGTTCACTGTGGACATGTGTTATCTCCCCTAGTAGGTGGTGAGCATCTGAAGAACAGAGACAGTATCCTATACACTTCCGCATGCTGCATTCCACCTAATATACTATCATCCCCATTTTAAGCACTCACTGAGTTAGTTTTTCTATTTCTCTGGCTTCTGTGGCCCTGTGTAATCTGTCCCCACCAATTTCTGCACTCTGATCACCTACTCTCTACTACAGCCACACTGTTCTCACTCCCCTTCAAACAGGCTAAGCTCCTCCTCTCCTTTGTACTCGCTGGAACTCTCTTCCTTAGATTTCTCTACAGGACTCATTCTCCTTTCTTTCTCAGACCCCTGCTCAAATGCCACCTCCTCCAGAGAGGCCTGCTCTGTTCACCCCACCTTCAGCAGCCACTCTCCTAATGGCATAACATTCAGTCTTAGTGAAGGCATGTGAGGATAGCTGAGATAATAGGGCAAATATATGTGAGAATCCAAATTAAATTAAATATAGGGATAATTTTAAGTATCTGGAACAGCGGGATCCCTGGGTGGCACAGCGGTTTGGCGCCTGCCTTTGGCCCAGGGCGCGATCCTGGAGACCCAGGATCGAATCCCACATCGGGCTCCCGGGGCATGGAGCCTGCTTCTCCCTCTGCCTATGTCTCTGCCTCTCTCTCTCTCTCTTTCTCTGTGTGTAACTATCATAAATAAAAATAAAAATAAAAAGTATCTGGAACAGGGATCAGCAAACTATGTCCCATAATCCACGTTTCACCCACTGACTCTTTTAGTACAGAAAATTTTATTAAAACCCAGTCATGTCCATTCATTGACATATTGCCAGCAGGGCTTCTGCACTACAGAGGCAGAGTTTAGAGTTGAGTAGTTGCAATATGATTAATAAATGTATGATTTCTCCTCTACAGAAAGAATTAATTGGCCCCAGATCTAGTAGAATGGATGATTATATCCAAACGCTCTTCTGCTTGTCTCTTCAAATGAGACTATGGCACAACACATAAACTTATTCATAGCTGGATTTTTAGATGAGCACTTGAGGACCAAGATTCTGTGTTTGTCCCAACATTAAGTGACACATGCCATTTCTATAAATGAGGCTGACATAACACTTTGAAACGTATTAACGTAGCATGACCAAAATTTACAAGATTGAATACACTCAAATTAGCCAGGAAGCATTTCTGTGAGGCTAAAACAAATAGTATGTATAAGTTTTTGCCCATAGGCTTAAAGTGGGAGACCAAGAGAGAAACAAATTACAACTATATTACATTCCCTAATGATATTCTCTAATAATGTAACAGATTCTAAACACACACCTTGATTTTGAAAGCTCTTTTGAATCCACTGGCAAAGAAGCCTCCAAAAGGACCAATCAAAGATGCAAATGTTGAAAGAGCAATGCTATGTATCTGGAAAGGATACAAGCTCACTGTTTCCTAAAGAGAAAATAAAGAAAAAGGGCATTAAAGTGCCTTTAAGTGCATTAAAATTATATCTGAGCATGCCACCTAAACTAAAAATGATATAAAAATTAAGTCAAACCATTATACCACATTTTTGTTAACTTCATAAATTTTCAGGATCATGGGAGAAAAGTATGTTGTAAGCTCTCATTTCCAACCTCTACTTAGCCAGCACTCTCCATTACCTCTCTAAGCATACTGACAGCACCTGGCACAGTGAAATCTTGCAGTTGACAGGATACTCAAGCTCATCTAGAAACTTCTACAACACTTGAGTTATAGGATTACTAAGAATCAGTTAATTTCTGACTTTATTTCTTACCAGTAGAACTTTATATATTTTAATTTTGTATTTTATTTCACTTTTATATGACAAAATGAGGGAAAAGTTTGTCATTAAGTTGATTTTAAAAAGACCACCAAATTGAGCATCAGCAAGACAGTCATAAAAGATTCAGGGAGGAGATAATAAAAACAGAAGAATTCTGCAGGCAAATTGTAAATTCTTGGTTCTTGCTCCACTTTAAATAAAACTGAAACTACAAATTGTAGACAGTGCATAAATAGGTATGGCTTAAAAAAGATCATTCAGAACACCAATCTCTAGACCTGTTCTCAAAGCAAAGGCCTTGTCCCTCATCAAAGATTGGTATCATCAAAAAGTTTTGTCGCAGGTTAGATGGCTAGGACATTGGAAAAAATTCTTGGATTCAATGTATTATGCACTCAAGGAGAGAAATAATTTGTTGGTCAACCTGCACCTCAGAAATTACAGACTTTAGTTTAAAATATTTCAGATACGCACACATACACAACACACACACACACACACACACACAGAGCTGTTTGATTCCTTACTTTAACCAAGCACCCACCAGTCCTGATGGCACAGATCAGCAGGGTTCTATTGGGCAGCATGTCAACATTCTTCAGTGAGAGACCTCAGCAACTGCCTTTAAATGACCACAGTGTGCTTCTCAAAGGGAAACGATTTTTTAGAAGCCAGAGCTTTCTGCACTAGTAAGGGTCCCCTAAAAATCAAGGAATCCTTGAGCTATTGAATTTTACTTAAGCTCCAAATTGAGTCAGTTCCTACCAGTTACAAGTGAAGCTCACTGTAACCCATTTGATTTGTAGAAACCTAAGGAATCCTGAAAGATGTTTTCAAAACAAATATAAGATAAATTACTATCAGTAATCATTCAAATCATTAGGTAAGTAAATTTCTAATAGACAAGTGGTTTGTGATAGTAATATTCATTTTATGTTCAAGAAAGGGGAATCACAAGGGGATAGAAAACATTATTGATGCTAAGTAGACAGTGATACCACTTCTGTATCATAGAGTTAAAGATTCTATAAAAACTGATTTCTTGTAAAAAGTTTAGTCCTATTTTTAAATGAACCTTTATCTTTGGGATACAAGATCCTCAACTATGTTTATCTTACCCGTCTCAACACTGCCTTTAAAAAGGGAGGAAGTGAATAACTCTGAAGCTGGAAAAGTTCTGAGGGTTCACATTCTGTAACAAAGGAGTTTACATCACTTCGGTATTCCACTGGGCAGACAAAGTATTGATATTTGGATAACATGTAGGCAGCCTGAATAACAAAGTAAGAGTCCATGAAACATTGAATTAAAAAAAATATATATATATATATAAAATATCTATCCATCTTTTTTCATTAGGTTCCAAAAATTAAACTTCCTAACAGTCATTTTTTGTATACTCATCTTATATCCAGCCACTTTATTGTCCTTTGATTCTCACAAAAACTCTTTAAATAAAAACCTAAATTTCATAACTGTACACTAATTTTTAAAACATTAACAATACCCATTATGCATGGCTAAAAGTAAATGTCCACTATTTTTAACAAACTTTTCCTGTAAGTTGGGGCTCACAGTAGCATCCAAAAAGCCAATTAGCTGGCACTCATTAAGGAGGCAGAGTTCTTCAACATCATTTGTCTTCTATACTTCACTCAAAGCCACTACTTGTCCAAACACCTGTGTCCCCCTTAAGGCAGAATAGCTATTAGAAACTACCAAAGCACAACAGCACAGCAGTGGTCCCGAGCCTAAGTATATATTAGAATCAACCGGGGGAGTTAACTGACTTGGGAGGAGGCTGGAACATAGATTTTGTATAAAATCCCCAGGTAATTCTGATAAGAGACCACATCAAAGCTACTGGGGTACAGAATTGGTTCTGTTTAGTGGGTTTCAATAAATACATTATTAGCATTTTGTGGTTCAGTTTTTTTGGTTTAGAATATCCTAATAAATTTCCCATCATTTTTCAAAATATAAATAAAATAAAAACTTCAGTAAAACTCACAACAAATCCAAATATGACTGTGGAAAAGAAACCGCCAATGAATCCTTCCCAAGTCTTTTTAGGAGACAGCTAAAAAAAGGCCAAATAAATTAAAAAGAGTTACTGCACTCACAAAACACACAAATACATATGCAAACTCTCTTCAATGAAGTCCCACAATACCTTATACAACTCTCCTTACATTTTTTCTTATTGGAATGGCTTTGCAACCCTTTTTCCTTCATTCCATGATCCTAATTTATTTGTGCAAATTTCTTTAATAATATCTAACATATTAGACCCTCAAACAATTGAAATACTGTGAATTTGTCTGTTTGTTTCTATATAACCTCCACTTATTTTTTCTCTCTCAAAGAACTATAATCTCTAGATTGAAATCATCGTCCCATGACTTTTATGCTTACATAAACCCCCACAATAGTGTAGTTCTTGCAATAAGGATGAGGCGTACTCATTCCAAGTACATATAGTCTGTATTGACCTACTACTGACAAAAAATAGGATGAGTATAACAAAACACAGACATTGCAGCGCACCAGATTTTCATATATTCCCAAAAATGCCATGCATACAACAGACCTCTTTCTGAAATGGCAAAACACTCCAGATACAGTATTTGCTCCACAAGTATTCACATATCCTTCTCCCTTTGGTCACAATCTATGTCTGTCTCCATGAAGAAAGGAACATGTTGTGCTTCTAAGAATAGATACTGTTTCAGATTCCGGCTATTGTTTCTCAGTCAATGGGGCATTCAGGCAGAGAAATCTGGAGGAAAGTTTGGAAATCAGTGATGCAGGGGCAGGAGGGAAAGATTTGGGAATGGACAGCGCTAACTGCCTGAGGTGCCCTGTAGGTAAGGCCTGATAAACAGGGATCTGGTCTTCAGGAGATCATGGATAACCTCTGTGAGGATCCTTTCAGTGGATGGGTGGGGACAGAAGCCATATAAATATCAGACAGAAGTTTCTGCAGACAGAAACAGGTGACAGGCTAACCTACCTGATCTCTTTATAGACCTCTTGTCCTAATGATGTTCATAAAGCCCAAAGCTAAAAGTGTTGATACAGTTTCTTGACAAATCTGATAACAATTCTGCCACAGAGAAGAGACTGATATACACTATTTCCTAGGATAATTCAATATTACTGTCATGGAGTAGGAGCTGAATCAAATTCAAAAGTGCCTGTTGATTATTTTAAAGGTGACTTATCAGGAGCCTGGGTGGCTCAGTCGGTTGGACAGCTCACTCTTGACTTTGGCATAGTTCATGATCTCAGGGTCCTGGGACTGAGCCCTGTGTCAGGCTCTGTACTCAGCAAGGAAGTCTGCTTGGGGATTCTCTCTCCCTTTCATTCCTTCCCTCCCCACAACTTGTATTCTCTCTAACAAATAAATCTTAAAAAAAAAAAAAAAAAGATAACCTATCAATTAAATTGATCTATATCAAACTGATTTAGGGGTTAACTTGTTTAATTACATATGGGCATATTATACAACTAATGTAGCCTGGTAAATTCACTAGAAATCTGTGTTAAAAATCAGACAGTAACATTCTTCTACAACCATAACAGCCTCTCTGAAGGCTTCCTAAGCCAAAAACTTCTCATCTGGTATAGACGCCTTGAATATTTAATCACTTCTCTTATGCTGAAGCAGCTTTAGAAATGTTAAATATATATATTTGCTTTGCTTGCTTGCCAGTATCCCTACAGCTCAGCCCAATGCTGTATGCTGGACTCCTATGTGGGGAAGAATTTACGGAAGATTTTTTTTTTTTTTTTTTTTTGAAGGATAAGCAGCCCATGCTTTTCTCTGGAAACACTTAAGCTCCTCTTGCATCATTCTGATCAAATAGGTTTTGTATCTGTACAGATGTCTCAGTCCCTCCGAACTGCCTTCATAGAGTAACATCAAAATAGCCAATTAACATATTTGTGGGAATATTACTAAATATTTTGCCCAATACATGAATGGAATGAAGCATATCTAAAGCCCCAACATGAAAAGTTTGTTTAAAAGTAATTAGTTCTAGTAAAAGTTCTGTTTTTCTACAAGGGCTTAGTTTCCCCCAAATGAGAATTGTGTAACTTACTTCTTTCTTTGCCTCCACTGACTGTAAGTAGAACCAAATCTAAGGCAAAACGACAAAATCTGCTCCTGTCTCTTTCCCTTATCTTAACATTTACTTATTACTGCATTATCAGTATTTTACTTTAGGGCCTCAGGGTTTTGTTTTGTTTTTTAAATGAGTTTGGGTGTAAAGTTTACAAATAGACATGAGTATGTGAAGATGGTTAAGTGTAGACAGACTTTCAAAAAATTTGGTAAAAGAGGTGACAGATGAGATGGCTTGAGGGGAGAACAGAGTCTAGTAAAGGCTTGTTTGTAGGGTTGCTGGGGAATGGAAGAAAGAAAAATTGCACTGTAGCTAATGGAAAGGCACCAGCAGAAAGGTGAAATGAGCCTTCACAAGATGGAGGATAACTGATGGAGCCAGGTCCTTATTGAGGAGCCAACAGAGTATCTCATGAAGACTCTAGATGGAACCATTGGGAAATATGGCTCACTGCCCCTACACTGTAGTTGTTAAATACAGTTAAGCAAAATCAAAGCACCTCAGAAATAAAATGTGCAACAGCACCAAGTTGTTGGAAATTTTCTCCAGTGGCTCATCTTTAAGGTTATGGTAATGACCTGCTTGTGATGTTCTTCCATTACCTTAATTAATGGAGTCCTCCCAAAAAAAAATCCAAAAAGGTAAGCAGTTATGTCATTGCAAATAACACTTGATATTGGAACAAGGAACCTTAAAAAAAACATCAGAAAAAAAGTCCGTATGATTAAGTGGCAAACGTTTATACAGGTTATGACTCATAATGAACCAACGCAATAACCCTTTGGATTACACTGCAGCCTCATCCAGAACATAACATTTGTCAGAACATTAGTAGAAACGATGTATATCAAGTAAATTTGCCCAGATCTGCTTAATGCAATTCAGCAGAGCAAAATCTATAAATAAACTAACATGTCAGGAGAATATTCCTAAGGAAAATATTAATCAATTTAATTTTAATATTAAGCAATCTATTTCTATAGCTATGGACTTTCAAATTTCAGCTTTATGAAGAATAAGTTATAATAGTACAAAGAATAAAAAAGAAGTATTTCAAAATGGAAACAAGGCATTTATTTAGACACAATATAATTTCATAAATTTATACCAAGCTCTTAGCACAATTTCTTGTGTTCAGGAATAACTATCAATTTTAATTCTACCTTAGTCTATAGTTACATTAAACCCTACTAATTGTACAGAACCTACTAATTTCAGTAACTGCCCCATATCAATTGAAAGTTTGCATATGGAAGACAATCTTAAAATGATTCTGATTGTTTTATGTACACACACCTTGGTATAAAAACAAAATAAAACATGAAGCTGTGAGGAGGGGTTTTATCTTGATAAAACCTAACAACTGTAAGAGATTTTAATTAATGGGTTTAGAAAGAATATGGGTATAATATGTCAGATTTCTTAAATTGTTTTTCTTCACTCTGATATTTAACTAATAATTTTTATAATTTTAAAACTAACAAAAATGCTTTCTGAACCTGCAAGGCGCTGCTACATAGCAAGTAACTCCATCTGAAATCTGGATACCCACTGCTACATAAAGGCAGTGTAGAACCTACCCAACTTTCACCCAGAGAAAATACATTGCCAGCACACTCTTTGCTGACAAGCCAACTTTTGTGTTCTTTTTGCATCCCACAAAAATAATATATTCTTTTTAAAGTCTGGGTATGCTTTGTAAAAAGCCACACTAAGGTGTAGTAACACCTGAAAATATACTTAATTTTTGGAGCTTTCACAAGGACTTCCTGGATTTTATTTGGAACCCCAAAAAGAAGGGTTTTCAGGTTAACAAAGTATTTGTCTTCAGTTGTCAAATAGTAAGAAAAACTCAGTAAGATATTTTAGTGACATAGAGCAGCAACAACAAAGAGTACATTTTAGTAGCAATCTACAAGACACTGTCCAAGGGAAAGAGCTTTAAAAAGGCTAGGACATAAATACAAAGCAGCATAATACTGTCCCCTTACCATATCATGCCTTCAAACAGATTTTGGATGACAAGATGTGACTGAGTAACTGTTATCAGTAAAGTGACATGAGTCCATGCGAACTGTTAATAGCCCAACAACACAACAATTAGTGAATACAACTGATCAGTGCAGCCCTGGAGCAACAGCAATTTTGAAACACAAATTTCTAGCATGATTTCTGGTCAAATTTTGTATGATAGGGTTGTACAAAATAAATGCTGTTAGTAAATTATATTCATTTTGGTGCCTACTGGAACCTTAAAACCATGAAGACATTTAACAAAGTAATCTTAATTTACACACAAATGGAATGCTCAAAATACCGAGAAACACCACTGGATTTAAAAATGCATACAAAATATACAATAATCTCAAATCATTAGATTAAAATGATAATGAGAAATTTATAGTGGTGTTACAGCATTTAGAGAGGAACATTTTACTCTGGCTGCATTCTGCATTAAAATTGCTAAAAGCTATTCTTTCAGAGTTCATTGTGGTAACTTTTTCCCATAAAGAGTTATTAATGACTTCAAATAATTCAAACCAGCAGGGACCAATTACTCTTAAATGCCAGCTTTTCATACTTGAAAGTTGTCTTCACAGTACTGTTCAATGCTAGTGTTCAACTTCAGTTTCAAACTTGTGTATTTCATCAAGCCCATCTAGCCTAAGAGATGCCACTTTAGTAATTTTTCGCATCACCAGCATGAGTACAATATGAATGAAAAATTTGATGTTTCTAAATATTTGTCTCATAATTTTGACTAGAATTTAGGAAACGTTCAAAATTCTTACAATTTTTGATTTATTCATAATTAACCTATTCCAATTTTGTCAAATAATATATAGCTGTTTTATTTTTATCTGCATAAAAGATCCAATTTTTTTTTATCCCAGTTGCTTCAAAATGCTTAAATGATTTTTTTCCAATAGGCACCATTTATATTTTCATAGGAGATACTATTATTTATAATTTATCTTGATGGTTTCTAGATTTTCATGGATCATTTTAATCTCCTCTCAGGATCCCTAGAAATTAGAAATGTAAGAAATACTACAGTTACCCAGTGATGATGCTCAGCAGAATGTCTCAATGAAGAAAAGCAAAGCATAAAGAATAGGAAATATACCCAAATCCAGAACAAGCCTTACTAATACATGGATTCACAGATCTAAATGCTGTATTTTCCATTTTGCAACCTTTTAATTAGCTATCTTTTAAGAAAATAAGAAAGTTCATCATACTCAGTGATAAATTTCATAAGATACTAAACACAGTTCAATGATACACTGCATAAAATACCTTAGGGCAAAAAGAATTATGTAATTATCTGTGTGACTAACCATAGCTAGCAAGAAAATGTATGTTTTGTTCTATTTATGTGCAGGCTAAGAACAAATATAGTTACTTTCCATAAAAAAATATGGTAGATATTTTTCAGGCTTACTAACTATTCAGGAGACTATGAAAACACTTCAAATACTTGATTTTAATTTTACAGTCTTTGAAAATATTCAAAGAAAGAGTTGAGTTTTTAGGAAACTGAAACCAGTTAAAATTTTTAAATCTTCAAAAATTGTATAACTTAAATCTTTTATATTTAATAATCATCAAAAATTGAAATACCCCTCACATTTAGGCAAAACATCAACTAGCAGATTAGATCTTCTCACTATAGAAAAAAAATAAAGGTAGGCGTTTTTATTATATATAGTTATGGTTAATACAAACCATATAAAACTGTAGACGATAATGTTTCTTCACCAAGCTCAGCACAAACATGCAGAAACCTGTTTGAGAACAAAAAAACATGTGCTTGTTGTGCAATCTGTTACAAAATGTAAGATTCACTGAGCTCAAATAATCTGATTTTCTTATCACTTCAAAGTACACTATAGCATTTATTCATCAGCCACCTCTCCTACTCATAATAAGCATGTTAAATAAGTTTCTTGAGTAAAATGACCTTATATTCTCCAAAATGCCTAATATATTCCATAGTATGAATTCAACAAACATCGCCTTCACTAATTAAGTGAATTAGTCTCCTGCAAATATGTGGACATGGAAAAACAGATTTTGAATTTCAGTTGAATGAAAGTTATTTGCTAAGAGAGAAACAGTTACCTACAAGGGAAAATCTATAAGATTCTCAGCTGATTTTTCAGCAGGAACTATGCAGGCCAGAAGGGAGTGGCATGCCAGTGCTGAAAGGAAAAAAACCTACAACCAAGAATATTCTATCTGGCAAGGTTATCATTTAAATTTGAAGGAAGAATAAAGTATTTTCTAGACAAAAGATAAAGGAGTCTTACGAGAAGAGTTAAAGGGACTTCTTTAAGTAGAAAAGAAATAGCTATAAGTAGACATAATACAATTTTGAATAAAGAGATGTGGGACACCTGGGTGGCTCAGTCAGTTAAGCCTTGGACTCCTGATTTTGGCTCAGATCCTGATCTCAAGGTTGTGAGATTAAGACCTACATCAAGCTTCATGTTCCCAGCATGGAGCCTGCCTAAGATTCTCTCTCTCCTTCTCCCTCTGCCCTTCCCTCCACAAACACATGGGTGTGCTTTCTCTCTCAAATGACCTCAAATAAACCTTAAAAAAAAAAAAAAAGAAAGATGTAGAGGCATCTGGGTGGCTCAATGGGTTAAATGTTTGCCTTCAGCTCAGGTCATGATCTCAGGGTCCTGGGATGAAGCCCAATGTTGGGCTCCCTGCTCTGCTTCTTCCTCTCCTGCATTCACACTCTCTCACGTGCACTCTCAAATAAATATTTTTTTGAAAAATTGTAAAATATGGTCACATATACATAAAACATGAAGGCAGGAATAAAGAAAGGGGGAGAGAAGGAAAAAGAAAAGGTATTTTTTCTTTTCCTGTTTTTTTTTTTTTAAGAATGTGTTTGATTTTAAATGACCACTAAATTGATGTAGACTGCTATTTACTTAGGATGTCATACATGAATCTCATGGTAACCACAAACCTAAAACCTATCATAGATACACAAAAAATAAAGCCAAACATAAGACTATAGAAACTCATCAATCACAAAGAAAGAGAGCAAGAGAAGAAGGAACAGAGAAGAACTACAAAAAAAAACAAATAGAAAACAACAAAATGGCAGTATCTATCAATAATTATTTTTTTTAAGATTTTATTTATTTATTAGAGAGAGAGAGAAAGCACAAGCAGGAGGAGGGGCAAAGGGACAGGGAGACATAGACTCCCTGCTGAGCAGGGAGCCTGTGTGGGGCTCAATCCCAGGACCCCAGGACCATGACCTGAGCCAAAGGCAGATGCTTAACCAACTGAGCCACCCAGGCTCCCCTATCAATAATTACTTTAAATATAAAGGGCCTTAATGCTCCAATCGAAAGACACAGGATGGCAGAATGGATAAAGAAACAAGATCCATCTGTGTGCTGCTTACAAGAGACTCCTCTCTGATCTAAAGACACATATGGACCAAAAGCAAAAAGATGACAATGCATTTACCATGGAAATGGAAGCGGGGGAAAAAGAGGCAGGGAAGCAATACTTATCTCAGACAAAGCAGACTTTAAAATAAACTGTACTGGACAAAGACGGGCATTACATAATGATAATGGGGTCAATCCAAAAAGAAGATAGAACAATTGCAAACATCTATACACTCAACACTGGAGTACCTAAATGCATAAAGCAAATATTAATGGGCATAAAAGGAAAAACTGATGGTAATACAATAATATTAGAGGACTTTAACATACCACTTACATCAATGGATAGATTATTCAGGCAGAAAATCAACAAAAGAAACAATGTCTTTGAATGATATATAGTACCAGATGAATATAACAGATACACACAGAACATTCCATCTAAAAACAGTAGAATATGGGCAACTGGGTAGCTCAGTTGGTTAAGCTTCTGCCTTCAGCTCAGGTCCATGATACCAGGGTCCTAGGATTGAACCCTATGTCAAGCTCCCTGCTCAGTGGGGAGCCTGCTTCTCCCTCTCCCTCTGCCTCTCCCCCTGCTTGTGCTTGCTCTCTCTCTCTCTCTCTCTCCCCATCTCCTCCTATCAAATAAATAAAATCTTTAAAAATAAAATAAGTAACAATAAAAACAAAAACAATAGAATAGGGGCACCTGGCTGGCTCAGTCAGTAGAGCATGTGACTTTTGATCATAGGGTTATGAGTTTGAGCCTCACAATGTGTGTAGAGATTATAAATAAATAAGCTTTTAAAAATACATAAAAAGTAAAAACGGAATACACTATTTTCTTTTCAAGTGCACAAGGAAAACTCTCCAGAATAGATCACATATTGAGCCACAACAAGCATCAATAAATTTAAGAAGAATGAAATCATACCATGCATCTTTTATAATCAGAGTGATATGAAACTAGAAATTAATTACAAGGAAAAATATGGAAACAACACAAACATATGGAGGCTAAACAATATGATCCTAACAACTAATGGGCCAAAAGAAGTCAAAGAAATAATAATAAAAAAAATACATTGAGACAAATGAAAATGAAAACACAATGATCCAAAATCTTTGGAACACAGTGAAAGCATTTCTAAGAGGAAAATACAAAGTGATATAGGTCTTCCTTAAGAAAGAAGAGCTCAAATAAATAACCTAACCTTACAACTAAAGGAATTAGAAAAAGAAAAGAGAGGCCCAAAGTCAGTAGAAAAAAAGGAAATAATAAAGATCAGAGCAGATATAAGTGACACAGAAACTAAAAAACACATTAGGAAAAAAAAAATCAATGATACCAAGACCTGATTCTTTGAAAAGATAAACAAAATTGATAAACCTTTAGCCAGACTCATCAAGAAAAAAAACCTAAATAAATAAGATCAGAAACAAGACAGCAGTAATAACTAAAACCACAGAAATAAAAACGATTAAGAGAGACTGCTATGAAAATTTATATGCCAACAAATTGGACAATCTAGCAAAAACGGATAGATGAAATAGATAAATTTCTAGAAATATGCACTCTTCTTTTTTTTTAATTTTTATTTATTTATGATAGTCACACATAGAGAGAGAGAGAGAGGCAGAGACACAGGCAGAGGGAGAAGCAGGCTCCATGCACCGGGAGCCCGACGTGGGATTCGATCCAGGGTCTCCAGGAACGCGCCCTGGGCCAAAGGCAGGCACCAAACCGCTGTGCCACCCAGGGATCCCGAAATATGCACTCTTCTAAAACTAAATCAGGAACAAACCGAAAATCTGAAGAAATTGATTACAAGGAAAGGAATTGAATCACTAATCAAAAACCACCAAAATTAAAGTCTTGGACTAGATGGATTCCCAGGTAAATTCTACCAAACATTCAGAAAATAGTTAATCTCTATTCTCCTCAAACTGTTCCAAAAAAATAAAAGGAAAACTTCCAAATATATTCTACAAAGCCAGCATTACCCTAATACTAAAGCCAGACAAAAATACCACAAAAAATATATATATAGGCCAATATTCCTGAATATAGATGCAACAATCCTCAACAAAATATTAGGAAACCACATACAACAATACATTAAAAAGATCATTCAAGGATCAAGTTGAATTTATTCCAGAAATGCAAGCATAATTCATTATCCACAAATCAACCACTATGATACACCACCATCAACAAAATGAAGTATAAAAATCATATGATCATCCCAAGATGATATTCATGATAAAAAAAAAAAAACAACCTCTCAAGAAAGTGGGGCTAGAGTATGTATGTATACACACACATACACACAAAACCCACAGTGAATACCATACTCAATAGTGAGAAACTGAGAGCTTTCCCTCTAAGATCAAGAACAAGACAAGGATGTCCACTCTCCCTACTTTTATTCAACATAGTACTAGAAGTCTAAGCCACAGCAATCAGACAAGAAAAAGAAATAGGAGGCATCCATATTGGTAAAAGTTAAACTGATGAGGACATGAGACATAGAAAATCCTAAATATACCAAAAAAACTGACTAGATGTAATAAATGAATTCAGTAAAGTTACAGGATACAAAATTAATACCTAGAAATCAGTAGTGTTTCTACACACTAATAATGAGGTAGCAGAAAGAAAAATTAAGAAAACAACACCATTTACAATTACACCAGAAAGAATAAAATAGCTAGGAATAAATTTAACCTAAGATAAAAGACCTGGACTCTGGAAACTCTAAAACATTAATGAAAAAACTTAAAGATAACACAAACAAATGGAAACATATTCTATGCTCATGGGTCACAATAATAGTGTTAAAATGTCCATATTACCCGAAGCAATCTACAGATTCAATGCAATTCCTATCAAACTACCCACAGCATTTTTCATGGAACTAGAACAAATAACACTAAAATTTGTATGGAATCTCAAAAGATCCAAAAAGCTGGAGATATCACACTTCTAGGATTCAAGATATATTACAAAACTATAATAATCAAAACACTGTGATACAGACACTAAAACAGACACATAGATCAATGGAACACAATAGAGACCCCTTAGATAAACCCATGATTGTATGGTCAATTAATCTATGACAAAGGAGGAAAGAATATAAAATAAGAAAAAGGTAGTCTCTTCAATAAATGGTGCTAGGAAAACTAGAAAACTACATGCAGAAGAAACTGAACCACTTCTTAACACCATACACAAAAATAAACTCAAAATAAAATGGACTTAAGACCTAAATGTGAGACTTGAAACCATAAAAATCCTAGAAGAGAGCATAGGTAGTAATTTCTCTGATATCAGCCACATCAACATTTTTCTAGATGGT